TTTTAGATTCCTATAAAGTTATTTTATGAGAAAAATACAATTTAATTTTATATTCGATAAATACACAAGGATTATTAAGATATTTAACATATTAGTTTGAAATAGATCGAGAATTAGGAAATAATTTTGCGTAAAGTATATTTTAATTTTGCTGAAATAACTAACAATTTTTTATTATTTAATATGCAAATTATAAGATTATTTTACAATTAATATTATTATTAATATTAACTATTAGAATGCATAAACTAAAATATAAAATTTGTATGAAATATTTTACGACAAATTATTCAAATCGTGGAAAAGGACGAATGTATAAAATTAATCTAAAAGATTGGTCGTTTTATTCATTCTGATAGTTCCAGTATTACATGAATGCATTTACTTTTTATTATTGACTTGAGTTCCGCGTCATTGATATATTCTTATTTACTCCAATGGCATGTATAGAACGTACAAGGTGGTTAAATGAAATTGGAATCGATCGAGCGACAACGTACGCTAATTGCACTGTAAACAAATTTCAATTACGATACAAACATTTTGACCGGTTATAAATAAATATCTTTCGTTTCTTAATTATAATTTAGTAAAAGTAAAATAGAATGCAAATAAATGATATATTTTTATCGATAAATTAATATTTTCTAACACAAAAATGTTTTAAATCCGAACACGTTAAATTTTAACTTTCGCGACATATGTATGCATGGATATACGTGTATATGTAACGAATTAATTTCAGCGAATTTTTCCGAGTAATTACAGTATAACATGAAAATTGAATCTTTCGGCATGTAACACGGATCGTGTAACAAACAGAGATAATGAGAGCCAAGAGTGTATTGAACGATAAATAATCGTAACGATCAAGATACGCCAGTGACACTCGATATCTTTTTATGTTATTAATCAATCGTGCATGATGGTATGCGATTTTATGCACGCCTGTACAGCCAACTCTCCATTTACCGTAGGTAATTAAAATCGTTGTCATAATACTTATTTCAGGTAGAGATATTAAGAATTATTTGTTGCGGGACACAATAATCGTGAGGATGATGATGACAGCGATGCATTGTGCATCCGCCAAGTACATTGCTTATAAATGTTCATTGTATCCGCTCCGTCGACGGTTGACGAGAATAGCGGAAGAAACGGCCGTCGTATCGAAGTTGATCACGCGCCAGTTTACAAAATAAATTTCTATATACTCACCGGATTCGTCAAGGCCGGCAACGATAACTACGAGAAAGCAGAGTACCATTAAAGGGATACTCGACATCAGTAGACCACTTCGAGAAAACATGGCGTCGTGACAACCGGGCGTGAGCGTTGTATCCCTGGCCCTTTTCCCACTTCCTGCCACCTTCTTGCTATGTTCTTGACTCCTTTCACAATCCCATGACGCGTAGCTAATATCGCCTGTCCATTTGAATTCACGATTCAATTCACTATTTCATATCACGCTTCGCACTTACGTGCGACGTACTTCTTCCCGAGAGAGAGATATGCTCAGGCACACTTTGCAAATCTCACCCCGTAATAGCTCTGGCGAAACTGAATCACATTATACCGAGTGTAACGTAGGTGTCACGACGAACGCTACACCGCCAAATACGACACTGCCCTCCGTCGGAACTTTTCTTCACATTCCCATGCGGCATGTCGATAACAAAGTTGATTCATTCGATGGGAAATTGTATTGAATTATTGACTAACTTAGTCAATGATGCTAGTTAGTCAATGGTTTTACTTTTCTTTCACCGTGGCGTCTGTGCCAAACATCTTATAAAAATATATTTGCTTTTCTACATGCAAATACTTAATAAAATTGCATGTGTGTGTTTAGTTTTGTTCATCACTGTATATGTAATTTTGAAATAAATTTATTGAATTCAATTTGTTTTATATATTGCAAAAAATAAGTTAAATAAATATACTTTATTATCGGTGAAGTATGAATCATTATTTCTATATCGTGTCCTCTAGGGGGCTCCTGCTATGTCTAACTGGCATTAGCATAGACATACTTTTACTTTTGTGAAATGTTCTTTAATCTGTTTAATTTTCTTATCTTTCTTCTTTGATTTGTATAAATTTCGGTACAAGTGGTATGGCCGAGTTGATTTTAGATCCAAATATTAGAGGATGGGTATTTTTGCCTATTGTTGTGATTACGTTTCTCGTAGGCATTATTCGGCATTATGTTTCGATATTACTTGCTTCGCAGAAAAAGGTTGAGCTTCATCAAGTACAAGACAGGTGATTACTTGGATTTAAAAATTGTATATTTACAAATTGGAAAACCTATGGGAATATTTTACAACCTTGATGCTTTCTAGTCAAGTGATGATACGCTCTAGACTGCTTAGAGAAAATGGTCAATATATTCCAAAAATGGCATTTATTAGTAGAAGACATTTTTTTAACAATGAAGAAACAGGATATTTTAAAACGCAAAAGCGTGCCCCTGTATCGCAAAATCCAATGACAGATCCTAATATGATGACAGATATGTTAAAGGGAAATGTAACTAATGTTTTACCAATGGTACTGATAGGTGGTTGGATTAACTGGATGTTTTCTGGCTTTGTTACTAGTAAGTTTGAAAGATTATGTATATCATGTGGACTATACCTATGTTTCGTTTTTAAATTACCATTTCCAATAATTTTATTTTAGCTAAAGTACCATTTCCTTTGACATTACGTTTCAAACCAATGTTGCAACGTGGTATAGAATTAGCTACACTTGATGCTGCATGGGTTTCATCTGCATCTTGGTATTTTCTTAATGTATTTGGATTACGTTCCATCTATACGCTTGTTCTTGGAGAAAGCAATGCTGCTGATACCTCCAGACTTCTACAGGATCAAGTGTCTGGTGCTGCAATGTCTATGCCACCAGATCCAAAAGCTGCTTTCAAATCTGAATGGGAAGCATTAGAAATATATGAACATAATTGGGCACTGCAGGGAGTTGAAGCAGATCTTATAGGCTCTCAAAGATCAGAAATAAGTGAAAATCAATATTCGTGAATATGAACAATGATAAATTTTATATAGCTTGTAATTTTAATAATATTTTGTATCTTATAGGTAGCAAATAATAAACATTACATCTACATCTATAGATATAGTATGTGCCATTTTGGAAAGATGTTTGAAGTTCCAAGAAGTAATTAAATAAATTAATAGCTTGAATTATCACACTAAATAATATATTATTTATTATATTATTTGATATACTTCGGAATATTTTACATTTTACAATAGAATATCTATATTATAGTTTTTTGATAGTTTGTCATATTTTTAATTTCATGTCTACGAAAAGTTCACACTTATAATTATAGCAATATATTCTCACCTATTTTATATTTTTAAAAATACAAACACACTTAAAAATACAAAAAAAAGTTCACACTTACAATTATAGCAATATATTCTCACCTATTTTATATTTTTAAAAATACATTTATAAATTATTGAATGGTATGTACAATAAAATTTACCACAATAAATGTTTCTTTTATATGTATATACATAAATATAAATATCTTTATGTTACATTTGTTACATGGCTTAATAACTGTTATTTGGCTTAATAACTGTTATTTGGCTTAATAACTATACTAATCATTTGATTATATCAAAAAATAAAAATAAATTTAGTTAATTAAGATTTAATACAATCACATATACAATTGCATATATACATCATTATTTCAATTACAAGGGTTTTATTTTAGGATATAAATCTGTTCGACGATGATTTTCACACGGCATATTTTGCCGTACTTGTTTTAATAAATCTAAATCAATTTCTGCTAAAACCATGTCAGTTTTTTCACTACACTGTGCTATTATGGTTCCCCATGGATCAACAACCTGATAAAATTTCATACATATGATAAAAGTATATTTAATGTAACAAAAACATATATTATAAAATTATATACCATTGCATGACCCCAGCTTACTCTCTTTTTGTTGTGTGTACCAGTTTGAGCTGCGGCTATTACATAACATTGTGTTTCTATAGCTCTTGCTCGCAATAATACTTCCCAATGTGCAGCACCTGTTTGGTATGTAAATGCTGATGGATATGTGAGAATTTCTGCTCCCATATTTCTTAGTGAAAGAGATAACTCAGGAAAACGCATATCGTAGCACTGTCATTGTTAAGTAAAAATAATTTTTTATACCTGAAGAACAATATAAAATTTGTATAAAGGATACAATACTGAGTCCTAATTTGCCAATTGGTGTTAATATAGGTGGTTCAATTTTTTGCCCTGATAAAACATAATCTGATTCCATCAATCTCACACCAGTAGTTTTATTATCCATATCGAATAAATGCATTTTACGATATCTACTGGCTATTTTCCCTTCACTGTTTATTACAATATGTGTGTTACTTATACGGTTTTCATTATTATCCAACTATGTGTAATTAAAAAAATATATGGATTAATAGATTAAGAAGAATAATAGTAATGTTTTATTTTGAAAAGAAAGTAAAAAGAAATTTTAAACTTAAAACTAACTGCTTCGTGTAATCCACCTAATGATAACCAAATCTTATTTGCTTTAGCAATTTCTTTGTAGCTTGATACTGTTGAACCATTCAAAGGTTGAGCCATGGCTATTGTATCTTTTTTATTATCTGCTAAATAATCACATGCTTCAGGAAAAAATGCAATCTATCAAAATATTTTAGAAATTTATATAAATAGAAATAGTATTAAAAAATTAATTTAAATTTTTATTATACATATGTACTTACACAAGCTGTCTTAGACTTTGCCTTCTCAACAAGTTCACGTACAGTTTGTAAATTCTTCTCTTTATCATTTGTTGATGTCATTTGACATACTGCAACTAATGGATTTGCCATAATGCTAAAATGCCTTACGAATTGTTTCCTAAAATACAGGTTATAAGAAATTAATGATAAACTTTTTTTCTGAACCAGAGCTAAATCATATTTATGTACACTATAAATAACATATTTGACAGACTCCTCTCTCCTTATAATTATTACCTATAATATTTAATAAGAGAGTTGTTTAAAAAATGCATGCTTATCATTTATTTACATTATCTGTAGACATTTGATAATACAGTAATCTTGATTCTGATGAAATAGAGTAGGGTTACAATACAACATATATTAATAGTTATATATCTTAAAATGACAGTTTTTAAAATTCTATTTGAAAGAGAAATATAATGTATGTTCATGCATAAATTATATATAATATATTTCTGAATTTAGAAGATAAATTATCAAAATTTTATAGGTTAGCGAAAAGTTAAAATTGAACTAACGCGCAATCACGTGACATCTGACGTAGCATTTTGAATTCAATTTCAATCA